AAGTTGAAGTCTCCCATGATTACGCAGTTTCCATTAGTATTTACTTCATTAAAAACATTAAAGAGGTTTCTATCCTTATCCAAATTGGATCCTGGTGGTCTATAACACACCCCAAGCACTATCCCAGGGAAGGATCTGATAGTTTTCTTCCCCAATGTGATTTTTGCTCAAACAGAATCTGTCTTCTCCATTCCATCACTTTTTATTTCTTTACAATCTACCTCATCATTGATATACAATGCTACTCCACCACCTTTACCTTTATTTCTGTCTTTCCTAAACAGCACATACCCTTCAATACCTGTACTCCAGTCATACCTAGTATTCCACCATGTTTCTGTTATTCCTATAATATCTGGTTTTGCTTCCTGGACCAATAGCTCTAGTTCCTCCATTTTGTTACCTAGGCTTCTCACATTGGTGTACAAACATCTTAATTTTTGCTGTTTGGCCTCATTCACATTCTTTACCCAATTTTGCATGGACATTGAGCCTCCAATATGACCTATTAGACTAGTATCCTCTCTACCCTTCTTTTTTATGTACATTCTCCTACCCCCGGCTATATCCTTTCTTACTTCGTTTTTCTCCCTCTCAATACTAAAATCCGGCATAGAGATTACCTGAACATCTCCCAACCGTCTCCCCCAAATTCCTAGTTTAAAGCTCTCTTAATCAGTTGTGCCAGCCTCCATCCTAGAAGTCTATTTCCCTCCCTACTTAGGTGAAGTCCATCCCGAGAGAACAGTTCTCTATCTGTGAATGCCTCCCAGTGGCCATACAGCCCAAAGCCCTCCTTATAGCACCACTGCCTGAGCCATCTATTGATCATCATAATCCTGTCACACCTTAGTTGCCCTTCTCTAGGAACAGGCAGAATCCCACTAAAGATCACCTGAGCATCAATTTCCTTAAGCATCTTCCCCAGCCTGGCATAGTCTCCCTTGATTTGTTCCAGCGAGAATCTAGCCATATAATTTGTTCCTACATGAAGGATGATCAACTGATTCTTTCCCACTCCCTTTAGGATCCTCTTCAACCTCAGTTCCACATCCCGTATCTTAGCACCTAGCAGACAGCACACCCTTCTATTCTCTGGATCAGCTCTGGTTACAGGCCTGTCTATTCTTCTCAATCAAGAGTCCCCAATCATGTAGACCTGCCTTTTCCTGGTAACAGTGCAATTCTCTGGTCTATCTCTTGCTTCCTCTGGATGCAAGTCCTTTCCATTCCTGTTTTCCCTTGTAATCCTCCGTGTTTCAAGGGGCAGCACATCCCTGGCTCAGCTGTGTGGTAGCTCCCCTTTGAAACACCACCTCTGCATTTCAAAGGGACAGCGTTGGAGCCGGGGTCAACTGGAGACTCCCCAGCTGATCCTGGGCTCTGTGCGGCATTTCCCCAGAACCCGGGGTCAGCTGAGGAGTCCCCAGCTGACCTTGGGCTCCGCGCAGAATGAGTCCCCCACTTTGAGTCCTTCGCTGACCCCAGACTCCGTGGCTTTGAAATGCACAAGAGCCCCCGCTGGGGCTTGTACATTTCAAAGCAGGCACCCCTGTGCAGGCTGGAGTCAGCAGGACTTCCCACTTCCCAGCAGGGGCTCTTGTACATTTCAAAGAAGGAATGCAGAAGTGCCTATTGACTAGTCAAGTAGGCAATTAACTGCAATTTAAGAACCTTCATCTAAACATTCCAGTATCAGCCTGCTCATTGATTTTATAGGGAAACATTTATATTTTTCTGTAGTAAGGAAAATCTACAAACTTGGTGTATCAAGCCTATTAAATTATTGAACCAAATGATTTCCTGATTTGTTAAAAATCTCAGTGAAAACATTTTCCCCGTATTTAAACACTTCTTTGTATTTGCAATAGCCATTCAAAATACTGCAGTAGAATTATTGTAAGATGTATCGGGAGTAGCCGTGTTAGTCTGTGATTTAAAAAATGAGTTGTCCTGTGGCACATTAGAGACTGGGGCTCGCCAAGTAGCGGCAAGCCCTGCTCGCCAGCTGTGCGGTTCTGCACTCTGTGCATGCCGCTCCCAGAGTTACGAATATATTACAGACCAATACTTGGTCCGTAACTCAAAGTGTTCGTAACTCGGATCAAATAGAGATACATGGCGACCGCACTGTAAGCGCAGATCGTCGTTCGTAACTCGGACCCGCATTTACGACCGCTTTGGTCATAAGTGAGGATGGTTGTTAAGTGGAGGTGGTCGTAACTTGGGGAGCGGCTGTATATATATATATACAGGGCTCGACAAATTAGTCAATCTACTCGCCCGGGGTGAGTAGATTTTAAGCCGGCACAGCGCCGCAGCACAGTCTGCACATGTGCAGTGTGCCAAACTGCGCGGCTGGCGAGCAGGACTCACCGTCACTTCATGCTTCCCCAGGGGGGCATGCCCCCCAGTTTGGGAACCCATGCCTTAGACAATGGTTCTCAACCTATTTACAATTTAAAAAAAAAATAAAAAGTGGTCCTGTAGAACCTTAGTTCTCAAGCTCTGTTTTTATATATATATATATATATATATATATATACAGAGAGAGAGAGAGAGAGAGAGAGAGAAAGAGAGAGAGAGAGTCAGGGCTTGACAAACCTGGTGAGAACCACTCGCCAGCCCCGCACTGCGCATGCGCCAGACCAGCACTGCACATGCGCGAAGCACCGGTGAATGGTGCACACGTAGCGACCGGCTGAAATCTACTCGCCACAGGCAAGTAGATTCAGCCGTTTGTTGAGCCCTGTATATAGTATTATGAGCTTTCATGGGCAAAACCCATTTCTTCAATCAAGCTCATCTGATGAAGTGCATTTTGCCCAGGAAAGCTCATTATACTATAGATATTTTTGCTAGTCTCTAAGGATACGTCTTCACTAGCTCGTTAGTTCAAGGTAGGTAGGGTAATTAGCGCAAGCAGAGTTGCAAATGAAGCCCGGGATTTAAATATCCCGGGCTTCATTTGCACGTTCCCGGGCGCCGCCATTTTTAAATCCCCCTTAGTCCGAACTCCGTGCCCGCGGCTACACGCGGCACGGAGTAGGTAGTTCGAATTAAAGATCCTAATTTCGAACTACTGTTACTCCTCGTAGAATGATATTTAAATCCCGGGCTTCATTTGCAACTTCGCTTGCCCTAATTACCCTACCTACCTTGAACTAACGAGCTAGTGTAGACGTACCCTAAGGTGCCACAGGACCGCTCATTTTTATTGAGAGTTGGATTGGTTTGGATCATTCGTGTAAAAACATTTGTTCTGGTAAACTTGCAGTTTTCTGCAGTTCCACCTTTCTTAGCCCACTGGGTTAGATTGTGGTATTTCTGCCAAGCCTCTGTGAAGGCACAGGAGACACAACCTCTCTCCGGGATGGACCAGTGACTGCAGTGGATGAATTTGATTGTCACCCAGGTGCTCCAGCCATACTCTGTAGTACAGTGCAGATGAGAGGCTGGCCCAGCCTCATCCTAAACCCCTCTTATAGATAGCTTCATACATCTCAAGGGAAGTGCAAGACCCTGCATGCTCAGAGCCCAGGGAATGCATAGACTACAGGTAAAGAAAGCCCTTAGGTAGCTGCAAAAGGGAAAGGAACCTTCATACATGCACAGCACTCCATCTTGCAAGAACCACTCACAGTATGGCCTTTTAACTGGACAATAGGATATTTCACAGAGAACTTAACAAGCTAGACTGGCATCTTGTACTACATAGATCTACAACTACAAACTGAGGCCCTGATCCAAAGTCCATTGAAGTCATTGAGAGTGTTTGGATCAGGCCCTATCTAACTCCCACTTTCCTTAAACATTGGTCAGGCTTCATATTCAACTGAAAACTTTTTTTTTTCTTGAGTAGATGCTTGATTTATAAGTATCTAAAACACTGAATTGAAATAAAAATTCAGGAACTGTTAGCAACACTGAGATTCTTTTCAGGAAGCTTCCTGGCACTTGAGAGTAGATTTTTTGGTTTATAATCTATTTTTGGTTTCTTACCCACTGATTTTAATAGGCTTACTTGCACAATGAGATATTGCTCAATATAAATAAAAAGTGGCCGATTCTTTTATCTGGGTTTGGAAATAAACATGTCTTTCATTGAACTTGTATATTTTCTCTAAGTCACAAAAAAGTCCAGTAAGTGTGTAATTGGTAATCACTGAGGCTTTTAGCTTGTTTACTTGTTTGTTTTTAGAAGAATATTTTTCAGTGCCTCAAATTTTCGACAACCAACCTTAGCATCCATCTTATAAAAATCAAACCTTTTGAAAGTGTCTTAAGCTGACTTCCCACTTGTATCTTTTGAAAAGCTTGATCTGTTTTTGTCTTATTTTGACCCTTGACCCAACCATAATTAAATGGCCAGTTTCTTGAGGATTGTAACAATTTTTGTACCACCCAAATTACTCCTTTTTGGTTTTGTCCTCTTTAATATCTAATACACAGAACCACAGATAACCCGCCATTCACACCCAACTCACAGGAAAAAAATACTGACTCATTTGTAATTAATGTTAACTACATAAAAGTGCATAGTAAATTTCAGTTGCTAGACAGAAGTATTTAAAATATTGATACAATGAAGCACACACCCATAGACAACATAATTATAAACATAGCTCAGGAAATTAATTTTTATGACTTACAGAAACCATTACTGACTACTATAAACTGCTAGCTCATAATTTATTGTTCAACTTTAATATGAAGTTTTGGAACAATGGAAAAAGTTGCTCATAGCCATTAATAATTGCAGGTGCTAATACTAAGATCAGTATCATAGTTTATAATAAATGACTAAATCACGGGATTATTAATATGCACTCTTCAAATAGTATTTTTCGCTGCCTGCAATCTCAGCCTTGAAATCTACTCTCAGAGCTCTGCCTTAGGCTGTGGTTTATAATCAGACACGCCACCCCCGCAATGGCTTACACAGTGTTCCAACTTGCAGCCCGCCCTTCCAAGCTCAGGGGCTCAGTGGTGTCACCTACCACTCTTTGGCAGGCAGGCAGGGTAGCGCGGGGCTCATTCCAAAGTCTGCCTTTGCAGGGATCAAAATATCTGGGCCGTCTGCTTCCCGGAGAAAGCGCTCAGCTGAAACCCCATCTGCTGGGAGTGGGAGGCTGAGCGATGGCTCCAGACTGTACCTGCAAGTCCAGACTTGCCCAATTACCCACGTGCCAGCATGTTTCCTTCCTCGGCGGACCCTTGGCACCGCTAGCACGGCTCCGGTATCCCTCGGGGAACAACTGAGGGCCCGGCCTTGCAATTCAGTGCCGGGCAAACAGAACCTGGTTTGGGAGCGCGGAAACTCGTGGAGGAGAGTTAAGAAAAGGAGCGGCCCGTAGCCCGCTTTCCTCCCCCGCCAGGAGCCTTTCCTCCCCTGAACCACGGACGGGAAAGAGCGAGGGGCGCTCCGGCGCGCTGGGATATGCCCAGGCGTGTACTCAGCACAGCGACTCTGCAGCCTGCATGAGCCGGGCACGCACCTCCCCACGCCGGGCAGACCCAGCTCGAGTGGAAGCAATGCACGGGGCCGGGACGGGCACACGCAGCCCTGCAGACAGGTAGGTGCAGCGTGCCCTGGGCCACGGACGGGAAAGAGCGAGGGGCGCTCCGGCGCGCTGGGATATGCCCAGGCGTGTACTCAGCACAGCGACTCTGCAGCCTGCATGAGCCGGGCACGCACCTCCCCACGCCGGGCAGACCCAGCTCGAGTGGAAGCAATGCACGGGGCCGGGACGGGCACACGCAGCCCTGCAGACAGGTAGGTGCAGCGTGCCCTGGGACCTGTCGGCCCTTCACGGCTGGCTTAGCATCTAGAGAGCGCCTGGCACCTGATCTGTGGGCACATCACTGCCCTGTCCACGAGAGACGGGCGGGCAAGTGCCAAAGGCATCAGCTGCCAGGCAAACCTGCCCCCTTTTACCTGCTTCCCCGCCGCAGCGACCCGATGCGGGCTCCTGAGCGAGTGGAGCTGTGCTGCTCTGTCCCCCACAGACGGGCCGGCTGGCCCAGGTCCCCACTGATGAAATCAGCTGCAACACCCCTCAGCGCTCCAGTCACCCTCCTGCCCTGGAAGGACCCACGAGAAGCGAAGTTCCACCCCGAGTCTCCTTCCCCCCCAGGCAGGACCGGCTCCCCATTGGATATAAGCAGCCCTCCTGGGCGAGGCTATGCAGATCAGCCTGCCCAAAGGGGCGTGGCCTGGAGGTGCTTAGCAAAGGAATTGATGCTGAAGGAGCCTCTGGCGAGGCCGGGTTGGGGACTGTCTAAGGGGCAGAGTAAGCAGCCGTGAGGAGAGGGCTGGGAAGGGGTCGCAGCAGCATAGCAAACCCGAGTAGTTTGGGGTTATTCCTAAAACAGCAGCGATGCAGCGGGATTCTGCAGAGCAGCCGCGCGAGATGCGGGAGAACACATCAGGACAGAACAATGCAATGAAATACAACAGCACGACCCTCACAGGGAGTAAGGCCGTCCCTTATAGCCACCCAGGACAAGAAAAAGAACAGGGGAAGTGCAACGATAAGCTAGGACAAAATAGTGAATAGAAATACAATGGAAGCATGATTAGAACATTAACACAACTGAGCTGCCTCAGGATATAGGGTGGAATATCCTGTAATGAAAACTGCACCATAGTTCAGTGACAACAATCAAGTAAAATATAACACATGACAACTATGAACCCATACACAAGAATGGCAGGGATACCAGCAAGCAATATAGGACTGCCACTTGAACAGAAGAGTCATGCTGAACACAGACAGGGAAAACCAATCACAGACATGCCCTTATTTGGGGTAGATGCTAAATATATTGCACCTGTTGGAGAAACAATACTTTGGTCCACTATTATTAATTTTTTACAACTGTACACTGGACTGGATCCCATTGTTCTAGACACTGTACAAACAGTAGAAAAAACAGCCTCTGCCTCAAATATGTTCATATTTTAAGTCTAAAACAATAGACAAGAGCTGGAGACAGAGAAAGGGGGGAGGGTACAAGGAAATATTAAGGCTAGAAATGGTCATACAAACTTGGATGGAACTGTCAGAAAATACAGCTTGTGAACACAGAAATACTTTGTGAAATCGTATCAATGTTGCTGAGATGTTGTTTTGGAGAAATGAAGGTGAAAATTTCCCAACAATGTTGAAAGGTCCCATTTGTATAGTTTCAGCACAAAGCATTTCAATATTTTTGAAAAACTTTTTATTTTTTTTAAATATTGCATTACTAATATTTTTGAAAAACTTTTTTTTTTTTTTTAATATTGCATTACTAGCAGATGTACCGGCATTGCTCAGGTCTTTAACTGAAGTAATTTTTTTAAAGTACATGCTTTATTTCGGTTGTTGTATTTTTACAAAATGAAAGTAACTGAAGGCTAGAGTGAGAGTTTGGGGATAAGGAGAGGCACGGGTGGATGGCTTAGGTCAGAAGATTGGGAAGTGGCGGGGGGAGGGCCTTAAGATATAGGAAAGCAGAAGGAGGTGGGGGGGCCTGGGGGAAGGAAATGGGAGTGCAGAAGTCAAGAAGTCCATGGAGCCTAGCCAGCACCCCACCCCCAACCCCGAGTGTCCCCTCAAACAAGCTGCAAGATGGAGCGGGGCACTGGAGACTGGGGTTAGCTCCTGATGCACCACCACCACTCAAGGCTCAGGACAGGGGGCTGGGAGGTGTGTGTGGGGGCTTATTCAGGCCGTCCATGGCAGTGAGGTTGGCGCTGCTCTGATGATGGCTCCTACCAGGGGGCCATGTCAATGCTCTCCAGCCAGCGGCTCCTCCCAAAAGGCCAGGGCTGTGTTCCCCAGAGGGAAGCACCTCCTGGGAGGGGGAGATCCAGGTCTGCACACTTGTTGGGTGGGGGTTGGAGCTCTGTGGGCTGGTCCTGGCTTCCAGCTGCCCCTGCAGCCTGCAGCTGCCTCAGGAGGGGCCTTGCTTGGGGTAGTGGCCCCTCCCATCCTACAGCTTGTTGGGGGGGGCAATGCTTTGCGGGCTGGTCCCGATCTCCAGCTGCTCCTCCCCCCCATCAGCTGGTCTGGGGGGGGAGCAGTTCAGGGACTGACCCTGGTCTCCAGTGTCCCCCTCCATCCTGCAGCCTGTTTGGGAGGGTGCTCTGTGGGGCTGACCAGGCTCTGTGGGCTGCCCCTATCTTCAGGGGCCACCATGGTCTGATGGCTGTTGAGGTAGAAGTGAGACTCTGGGGGCTCACCTTGACCTTCAGTAGCTCCCCTGAGGTCTGGGGGGGGGGGAAGCTCCAGGGGGATCCCACCAGTCTCCAGTGCCTCTCCTCCTGTGACCTGCAGGCTCTCGGGTGGGGGGACAACTCTGGGGGCAGCTCCTCCCTCCAGGGGCCCCTCCACTTGCCTCCAGCCCTCTAGGCAGCCCGTACCACTCTCAGGCACAGAAAACAAGTCTGACTGGGCTTGAGCTCTGCCCACTGCTCCCAGCTCTGGCTCAGGGTCTGTCTCCCTCTCCAGCCATATCCTCAGTTCAGCTGGCATCACCCTGTCTGTGCATCCTACACCACACCCTGCTGCCCCAGTCTCTGGAGAGCTGCTCATGCCCAGCCCCATCATGCACTTAGCCTGACTCTGCTTTGGCTCCAGCATTAGCCCTGCCCAGATCCCCCCTCCCAGGGGTCACTCCTTAGCTAGGATATTTCACTCCTGCTCACGCCTGCTGTCTGGGTGGGAGGGGCTCTGGCCCTACCTGCTTTCTGTCATAGAGTTCAATTGTCCAAGTGATACTCTTGGCCACTGTGGCAGCACCTACACCTCTGCTCTGCCTGGATGTAAGTGAGAGAACTGTGGCCCACCCAGGCTCACCTAGGGCTAGACCCAGTTTGCCCCACACCAATCTGGAGGGGGTTAATGATGCTGAGATGGGGCCGATTAACCAGATAGGCCAGAGCTGAGGGGAATTAGATGGCCCATGTAATCCCCTGAATAGTGATGGAACCCAGTTGAAAAAGAAGGGGGAAGGGTAAATCCAGGAAGCTGAGAGAAAGGGGAAGGTGTTTGGGAACTATAGTGACAAGTAGCCAGCAATTTCTCCATGGGAGAAGGGAGTTTGGTGTGGCAAACCCACAGAGTTGGGGAGCCAGAAGGTAGGGCTGAGATGTAGGCAGGAATCCAGGGAAACAGCAAACAACTCTTCTCTGGAGGGAAAGCTGACCCCAGTTACAGGCATAGGCTCCCTGGACTGGAGCTTGGAGCAGCAGGGAAGCTGAGATTCCTGTACAAGCAAGTGAGGAAATGGCACAGACCAGGCGGTGGAGCACAGCCTGCCTCGGCTGGTTGTCCAGGGAGACTTTGTTGCTCCCAAGAAGGGAGGACGATAGTGAGCTGGTTGGGAGATGGAGTCATGAAGAAGGAGACCATGGGGTAAGAAACTGACAGGAGGGGGTATTAGGCCTACAACCAGTTAATCCCAGAATAACCAGGAGTGCTCTGATGGTGAGTGCTGCATGGCATAACTATCACTAGCCCAATATATGATCAAGGGACTTGTGCATATTGAGCTGAAGAAAGGAATTAATTTGTAACTCAACCATAAACTAATAGTGGACTGAAAAAACAAATAGGAAACTAAACTTTAAGGGGCTGTGCTACAATAGACATGTAATGGTTTGATCTTTTGAATTTGTTATGCCACAATAGTATTACTTTGAAAAGATTCAGTGTCTTTAAACATAGCTAACTAGAGAGAGCACTACAAATACCTAATTTTAATACTAATTCATGGAAACCTTTAATCTCTTCACTCTTGCACCAATCGATTTTTATCTATGGAACATCCTTGATTAACTGAGAACATAACCAGGCAGTGGTACAGCAATCAGGTGTATAAACTATGAGATTTCTTGATCCTGAATACTGCACCAGTATTCACATCACCCTCAATACAACCCCCAAATTCTATCCCAGAATGCACTTTGCCTCAGTATAAAATGTGGGGTGTATCCTCAGGATTTGAGTTTTCCTTTGGTTATTCCAGAATTCTGGCCAGGAAGCTGAAGGTGAACCTTCTCTTGTGCTTTACAACTGGGACATCAAGAAGGACCACATCCATTTATCTGCATGGTAAGAACACATCTCTTGGAATGCACCTTATCCTAGAAAGCAGTAAAGGGATTAGAATGGAGAATACACTGTAGCAAAAAATTCATCCTCTGGTTCCCAGAGGGAATGGACTACAAGGGATAGTAATTAGCTAACTTGCCCTGGAGCTGGCGAGCCTAGGATCATGCCAACCCTGACTACAGAATGAACCCCACCTAAGGAGAATCAGACATTTTCCTATAAAGAGCAGAAGATGGCTGCTGTAAGGAGGAAGCACAGGAGA